GCTTCCGCCATAACAGGACAAGTGTATTCAATCAAAAGTCACAGTAAATCACTTCCTGGACTCGTTCCTTTCCTACTGGGAATATGCTTACCAGCTAACAACTGCAAACCTAATGAAACTACATTTCAATTGGAGAACAGATTAATATAATCCATATTGCTGTTAGAATTCTTCTTATGAGGGATATTTAAGGGCTTCAATATTGATGGTAGACGGGAAGATATGAACATAAAAGGGTTTTTTGATAAGCAGGCTTCCCGTTTTAAACCTACAACTGCCGCTCTGAGTCTATGTACCCTGATTTTAAAATTTTGCCATTGGTGAAGGCTGCGCTGTAAATTTGGAAAAGGCCTACACTCGGCATATTTTGATGAAGACATGTGATCGTAATTAGGCAAAGTATTTTGATGAGATTCTTTGGGAATGAAGAGCTGAAACAAAGAGTTACACATATGACCATCCAGGTTCTGGTAACAACAGGGTTAATGCGCAAGCGGACGCTATGATCAAATGGCGCGATAGCGACTATTACTTTTCTGCAACCCTTTCACTTAACAAAATTCAACCTCCTCGATTTCTCTCTGAGTACATCAACAGGAACGGAACTGAGCTTGCTTCTTACCTTCCTACCACAGAATTGCTCCAGAGACTTTGAAGTTGCATCTTCCTGGGTTTGTGGAGTACACTGAATATCGCTTTTTTAATATGTGAATTTTATTCCTTTTTTTCCCCTTCCCCTCTCGGGGTAGCCACTCTTGGTGAGCTTTCGGAGGAAGCAGACCAACCAAAATAAAAACATTGACTTGTAGATCACAAAATGGGCCCTCTTTGTTATTTGCGACGTAACATTTTTGCCACAAAAAAAAAAGAAATTATCAGTCGTTCATTCAGGCTTCAGAGGTGGAGGGGGGTTTAAGAAAGTAGAAGCCATTGAAAAATATCATACTACTTTATTTTGTGCAAATGTGACTGCTCATGAGTACATTTACTCAGAACAAGTGATTAGGCTATGAGAAAACCATTGTATGTATACATTTATTCGCAACCAGAGTTGTTGCTAGATACAGAAAAAGCATTTAATGGATGAGCGAAAGAAGGGAAGAGAGAAAAGGAGCTAAGAGATGGCATTTCAGTGTGAGGATGCAGGATCCAGGAGTCAAGTTTGGCACAGGTCAAAATATGGGAGCAAGTTTCAGTGCGATATTCATCAGAACACAATTCACGACAGAAACAGCAGCGACAATAAGCTCTCGTGATATCCTGGAGTCATACATAATTTATGGTGAAAGCCGTGAGCTGCTGCAAGAGTGAGAACAAGGCAGTTTGCTTGATTTATTTTTCCTCCCTTGAGTAGTTCGGAACGCTGGACCCTCTGCGAATTTTTGGGTCACGAATTTTTAGTTTTAGTTAGCTCTGATAATCGCCGCAAACTGTGGGGTTTGGCAGGTGTTGAGATTGGATTTCTTTATTTAAGTTGGGGTTGAGAGCAGCTGATGGCAGTGGGTTCATGAGGCTGCTCTGGGGAGATTAAGGATTACTTTGAAGGCGCTTTTATCCACTTAATGAAGCATAGAGTGTTATTTTGGTTGGTGATGGCAGAGGAAAATATTTTGCCATCTTGTTATGAGGTACGGAGTTTATTTAGTTGTGTCAAATTTAACCATCACGTTTGTGAAGTAAGTAATGTATAGTCCATCAGCAAAATTTTACAGGAGGTAGCACTGGTGTATGTATTACTGAGGATATCAATACGTCCCCAGAAAACAATTTGAAACATACACCGCAGAATCAACATGGATAAACGTTCGGAACATTGATACAACGTTGATCCGACGTAGCTTTGTTTGCTGGGTCTTCATCTTCACCATCTTCCAAAAAAAAAAAACAACCTTTGTATTAATTGCAAATAGTTATGAACTTGAATACACCAAATTTAGTTTCTGTTCTATTCAACATAGGCAAAGGGTGACAGAACTGTAAAACCAAAGTCCAGCAAAAGAGGAAAGTACAATTGGACATGGAAGATTGGGACAAGAAGTTCATTGAATACATCTGGGCAGCTGGACTGGTATCCTCCGATAGTATTGCACAATATTATTGCACCGTTTCCAGATTGAATTCGTACCCCCCCCCCCCCTATAGGTGCGCTAGCATCGGTTGCAGGTAGTGACATCTTACACATGGGTGGTTACGTCTATCACTTGATGAAGTGGAATCTCTGTAAATGTGTAGTTCTTCCATTCTCCACCATAGGTGGGCGGTACGAATTCAATCCGGAAACAGTCTATACTGCCCTTCCTTCCCTTCACCACTCTGATTTTGCTCAATAGCCACTTTCATAGGCGCCGATTTCTAAAAAAAAATATTGAGGGGGGGGGGGTTGCTCGGGCATGTTGAAGGTCAAGGGTCCTCGCCCATCCACTCCATTCCCCTTACGTGGTGACGGGTATCACTCGGAGCTCTAAACAGATAGGAAAATCATATTTTTTGTGAAACAGCATTTTGTTTCCCATGTTCCATACTTTTGTTGTACTTAGGCCATTCTCTGGAGGCACTGTCCCCACCTCTCAATAACATTGTTGGGGGGGGGGGGGGGGGGTAAGCGGAACGTTGGGGAGCTAACTTTTCGTCGGAGTGGGGCGGACGCATTCCGACCAGAGTTGGGGGGGGCTTGAACCAAACTTGGAGGGGCTGAAGCCCCCCCCCCCCCTCGCTATACCACTGTGTGAGACCCTGATACCAATGAAATTGCAAGGCTCAGTTGCCTCAGGGTCATGTTGACTTCTTTTATCCAGAAGTATCTTGAGATGATACGTTTTTATTTTCCTCACTTATTTTCTACATCATAAGATTTTTTTAATTTCTATTTTCTTTAAAATCTTTTTCTTTTATGGTATGGCGCACCCCTGTTAAGAGGTGGTGAGTTTGAGTGAAGCCAATAAAGTAAGTAAGATGCAAATGGAAAAACCCAGGAGCAATTTTAAGTCCTTTCTATCTCTTTAGGCATGGAGAGGATTTAGAAAACGCTTGATGCATCCTTGGAGTGACGTGTGCCATCTCTTTTGCATCATTGCATAAAGCTTTGCAATAATAACCTATATTAATTAAAGTTATTATTACAAAAAAGCTACCTATAATAATAATAATAACCAGTGGCTTGTGGCCCAGAAAATCCCAATGGGGGGGGGGGGGGTTGACATTTGAAAAATGGGTGACTCAGCTGCATTTATGGCCCCCCCCCCTCATTGAGATTTTCTGGGCACGCTACTGATAATAACCTTTAAACAGCCTTTCATAACCTTTAATAAGACAGCCCCCCTCCTGGGCCGGCTGAATTACTATTACTTTTATATTATTTTTATTTATATTCTTATTACCTTCAAAAGGGTTGGGCAAAAAGGCTTTTGGCATCCCTATCCGAACCTTCATTCCACGATCTTATAGCTCATATTTGAGCAGTCTTTTAAAGGCAAAACATATCTCATCCCGGTTTTTGGGCTGCTGAATGATCATCCAACCCCGCCCACCGTCGTCTGCGGTCAGATTTCGGGATTTTTTTTTCGCATTCCGCATTCCGCGTTTTGCCCTGACACCTTGGTTTAGGCCTAGTCCAAGCCTGACGGTCGCGGCATTACTTGCATGAGTCTTCTAGGTTTATTTTTTTTCGCTCTGACGTTCAACTTCTTTTTCCATCGACTTCACTCTCTCTCGTTCAGTCGTAAGGTTGAGAGACTCGCCATCCTCTTTCGGCGATTCTTGTCATTAAACGGTTTCAGACCGGCTTTCCCTTCCCCCCACCCCTTTCTTTGGCGCTGTTGGAAGCTACTCGAGAGACGCCTAGTGATTGCTGTTGTCTCCAACCAATATCGGAAGCTATAGCGAAAAGGGCCTTGAGCGACATCCTTTCGTGATCAGTTGAACTTTGGCTTCCCAACTTGAGAATAGAGCTGGAGGAGAAGTATAGAGCGCGAATGACCATGGGCGAAAGTCAATGTAAAAATCCTGGAGGCGCAGAGTAACTTTGAGCCACAATTTAGTGCCGTATGGAGCCCCCATCTTGACTGCTGTTTAGTAATTAGCGTAGTTCTGCCAATCGATGCCCATTAATAGAAGTGGGACTCAAGTTTTGTGTGAGTGGAAAAGGAAAAAGGATCCATGGGAACTTGAGATAACATTCTCAGTACATGCTTAACTGTTATCCTGTTCTCATACTGAGTAGTGGTAGTGCTCAATGTTAGACCTCTACCTGAGGGAGTTAGTTCCTAATGATACCATGAATTACTTGATATTGTCATCAGTGCCAGTAGTTGGCTTTGAAAATAGTGATTAGCAATATCTACAGTGAGATCCTATTGCTTGTACCCCCTCCTCTCTTTACAGCCTGCTGAAAGGTGTCTCATGTCATGTAACTTAAGTGACATGCTGTTTCAAAATGGCTGCTCCTGGCTGAATCAGTTAATAAAGTAGGAAATAAGTATCTCCTGCTTCTGTCCCAGTGGAGGGTGTAGTTGATTAAAAATCATACTTCTAGGTATGATGCTTTCATTGAGGTGGATGGTTGATTCCAGTACTCCGTGAAATGCTGCCAAGGCATGAATTAGCCCCAACTCATGGGATTTCCATAGCATTGAAAGGAAAAAATTTCAATGTTAAATGTGAATTTTAATGTGGTACATATGTCTTAGCATGACTTGCTGCACTTATGAGAGAACTTGTTTCACCCTTTTCCTTAGGGAGGACATGTTATAGCTTAAAGGCTTTCCTGAGCATTGCCTGGTGTAGGATATAAAATTAAAGTAGGTCATGCCAGGGAGAGGTTAACTTGCCCTTATTAAGCTAAGTCAATGCTCAATTTGAACCATTCCCTGACAGGACCTATTTCAATATTATATACTATGCCTGTCAATGATGGGAATGTTTTGACATTATTATTATGTATTATGCCAGGGAAAAGCTAAATGTAAGAAGCTCCATTTGTGTCTATAGGCTCAAGAAAGTTTAAATTTTTTTCTCTCAGTTATTCCAGATTTGGGCCCAATAGGTCCTTGCATAAATGGATTTGAGCTTGGATGATATAATTAAACAAAATCCAGGGAAATTTTCATCAGGAAGAGGAGGTCTTCGTGGAGGTGGCAATGCAAGGCTCAGGTAGGCTGGGGTTTTCTAATTTGGTGTAAAGTCTAGTCCATATTTGCCATGTGGCTTTTCACTTTCTGCATTCTTGGGTTTCTTCTTGAAAGGAAGTGTCAATATGCTATCTTATAAGCCAGACCAGTGCACCCTTGCAAGTTTCATCCTGACCAAAATATTAAAATGTGCATTTGTGCTAATAGCAGGGATTGGAAGGAGTTCTATAAGTATTCTTGGTATGATATGGCATATGGTGTGCCCTATTATGCTTGTGAGGCTTTGTGGCTTAGTTGGAAAATCCTGTATATCATATGCAGGGGCACCCTGACCATGAGTTTCAGCATTGCTGTAGGATATGTTTATTTTTGGATATCTTTTTTCCTTAGATGAGTGGTTTTTTTTTCTAGAAATCTAAAACTCAAATTCCACTAACTTTCAATACCTGGCACTCATACCTTTTATTGCATTTTCTGGCATTTCTCATGGTTAAGGGTTTAATGCTTCTAAAAATGAAGGACTTAGCTTGTATAACTTGAGCTTTGAAATGATGCAACATTCCACCAAATGCACCAAAGTTATTAATATTACTTTGTTGCTTTGTCTAATAAAGAATAATGTGTGCTGAAGTGTAATGATGATTGAGTCTCCTGTACAGGAGACTGAATCGTCCAAGTGACTGCATCTGGGCCAGTGGCATCTATGACATTTAAGATCTTGTGAGGTATTGTGACTGCATCATGATCTTTGAAGTTGTGGATACCTTTAACCAGTGGCATATTTTGGCTGAATGGTCAGGGGGGGTAGGGCAACAGAGTGGAAACACCAAATCCCAACTGAGCCATATCAGGGGAGAACATTATTATTTCCAAGGGGGTGCCAGGCTCTGTCCCGGGGCGCTGGGGGGGGAGGGGGGGCAGCTGCTCCCCCTGCCCCCTTGCCCTTGACTTTAGAGTCAAAGCCATCACTCGCTGATCAATCTGGTCTGTTTTTGTGGAGCAATTTTATGGATTTCCATAGCAGTTTCTCCTGATGAAGCCATGAGTAGGCTTTATTTTGGTAGTCATCCAAAGTGATAGAACTGGTGCCAGTGTCCATATCTTTGATGAGAGTGATTGCTCTGATGCCATCACTAAAACATGTTTCTTTACCTTCATCAGTTACCGTATGAGAAATGGTTTAGTCTCAGAATTGAATTGAATTCTCAAAAATATCAAATACCTACCTTTCTTATGTTTTTTCTAGCAAAGCAGGACTAGCTATCTGGGAAATTCTACATTTATGAAGATGAAACAATGCTGTAACTGCTTTTGGACCTAAGGCAAATACAGTGCAAACATTTAGGCATTGACATGTTCCACCACTTGTGTAAGACTTGAAAATGTTATTATTTCTGGTATTTCAATTTCAGAAGGGGTGGCCCTGGCCTTGGAAGTAGATCTAGGACAGGGGTTGACAAAGGTCTCTCTACAAGAAAGGATGTTAATTCTGGGAAGATCATTGATGCCAGATCAAAGATCATAGCCAGGAAGAAAACCAAGATACAAGATGCAAGATGTCTTCTGGGAACTGCTGGGAAGTTTGATGATGCTCGACAGAAGTTGGACCGTATGCGAGAAAAGAACAGCATTGATCTTGCTGCTACTAAGGTAGGTTTAGATGCAGCAAAAGTTTCATGCTGATTTTGTTGGTAAGGAACCAATTATAAGGGTCTTTTTAAAAATTTAGTGAAATGGAGATTATCCCATTCATGAATTTAAGAAAAGCTTGTGGGTAAGGTTTTTTTATTAGCAAGCTTATTTTCATTAAGAATGAAATGAGGCTGCATATGTAATCTGTTGGGTTTATGTCATTGCTGAGGCATTGTGAATATTAGTGGAACTATGATTGATAATTCCTAATTATTCTACAATCTTGGCAGACAGCATTGTTAAGCTGTAGCTGTGGGATGTTAAACGTAATGCCCCATGAGGCTACATGTCAAGTTGCCCTCCTATGTTCCCCTGATGGTGATATGACACTCTAACCCTAGAAATGGAGCTAGTGTCATCTGAACTAGAGGATTTTACAAACGCACTTAGAAACTGGGAGAGTAAGTGTGTCTCATTTTACAGATTAAGGCCTTCAAATTTTAACACCATTTTACTTTGGTGAAAAAAGGAAATATATGTAGGGATAGCAAATTTTTTTAGATTTCCTTTTCTATCTTTATATATATAATGAAGAAAGTTTACCTGTCTGTCTGTCTATTCCTTTATGAATTTGGACCCCACAGGAGCCAGTGCAACCAAACTTTGCAAGGCCTCCCCTTTCATCCAGGGGAAGGTCGAGGGCTATGTTTCCATCAAAAATGTTCACTCCTTGGGTACTTTTTTGGAGTACTGCAGTGTCTGGGATGGCTTTGAGAGGTACGACTGACTCCTGGATTTGGTGGTGCAGTGGTAGCACACCTGACCAGCAATCAGAAGGTCCGGGTTTGATTCCTGGCCATTCCCTGCCTTTTTTTTTTCATCTCATGCCATTAAACTCTCCCCTCCCAGCCACCTGCATTACAGTATCCTGGGGTAATCCCATTACTGGATCACTACAGTAGGTAGTAAGAAATATTCTTTTGATCAAGTTTTCATTGAAAATGTTTCAAAACGATAAAAACATTTTACCAAGAAGTATTTTAACTCCGAAGTAATTTAAACATTATTCAAAGCGTTCATCAAAGCGATTTTCAGAGCGATTAACAAAGCAATCAAATTTAAAATGTCAAACCCCCCCCCCCCCCCCAAGAATTAAGGTAAATAAAAAAAAAGGGAAAGGAGTCTGAATGCATTTTGCAACACCCAATATCAGTAATTTATAGGAAACCATAATGTTAGTGTTCCCCAATTTTTCTGAGTTTTGCATCATATGAAAGCCTAGACCTTTCTTCACAACTGCTATTAAACCTGATGGTTTGTGGTTGTGGTGGTGTTACTGGTTGTGGGTTTTTTTGAAAGAGGTGTATGCTAAAAAATCCCTAACATCTCTGACCTCATCAATGCCATTCATTGTCTTAGTCTCTGTCCAAACTGGGAGTGAGGTTTCTGGGATGCAGGGATTTAATCTTTTTGCCAATGAAATTGGTTCCCATTCTGATCATGACCCATAGGGCATCACCAGGTAAGTCATCCACTGCTTTCTGGCACATGTCCAAGCTTATGGCATCAGTTTCGTGGAAATGGCACTGATGAGGTCTGGGATGTTAGGGGTTTTGTATCATACACCTTCTCTTTCAAAAAACCCTACAACCAGTAATCTCAAACCATCAGGTTTTAACAGCAGTTGTTAAGAAAGATCTAGGCTTTTGAATGATACAAAACTCATTTCCATCAGAAAAAAAAATAAAGACATGATAATGTAAAAAACTTGGGGCAAGGTTTCTGGACACCCTGTATATGATGGCATGAGTTTCATTCTGTTACAGTCCTGTATCAAAAAGTTATGATTTTTCAAATGTTGGAAGGGTGTGGCCTTGGCTCTGTTCAGTATGGCCTCTTATGAAAACAAGTGCTACTGCTTGAATTCTAGGGTATTTCTTGAGTAAAAACTAGGTAGGGACATGTTGGATGATATCTGATGTGGGCCTGATTCAGTTTTAGTTTGTTTTTTTTTTGTTTGTTTCATTTTCTAGAATATGGATGCTGAAGAACTGCAAGGGCTGATGTGTAGCACCAGTCCACAAGCAAATGTGTTCCCTGCCCTTATGCGGCGCACCATTCAGAATGTAGCTCAATCAAGCCCATTGTCAAAGAGGAATCTCAGTGAGTCTATCTAAATGAGATATCTCTGAATTCATTAATATCCATACTTCTCAGCCTCAATGTGGTCATGTTCCTATTGCAGATGTTCAGGGACAGCTGGCTAGGACAATAAATAATGACTCATTCCTCTCCCCCTTATCTGATACATCCTTTCTCCAGGTAAGTCCCAGACCACTTTGCATCATCTCATTTTGTGTTAGATTATTCCTTCTCTTGTTGGTTCAGTTCAGGGTTTTTTGTTTTAACTTGTCCTCAAAATTGACACCATTGAGATGTACAGGGCATCCACAAAAGAATCATACAATGTTTATACTAAAATGTGCTTTCTCTTGCACAGACACCATTTTACTAAATTATAGACTGCGTAACCACATGGGTAGTGCATATGGGTATGCTTTTACGCCGTCTGTAATTTAGTAAAATGGTGTCTGTGCAAGAGAAAGCACATTTTAGTATAAACATTGCATGCTTCTTTTGTGGACACCCTGTATAATGAGCACTCATATAGTACCTGAATATGTATTGCTGAAAATGTATTGTCTGCAACTGTGGATGTTGAGCACTAATGTATTTCCCCCCCCCCCCCTCCTAAAATCTAGGATGACTTTGACATGGAAGATATCTTGCCAAGAGTCAATCCTCTCAAGATCACAAAGGTCATTCACCAAAGGTGAGTCATGGATCATATATTAACAGCACTTTCCCTACCATGTCAACCATTGATAGTGGTGTCAATGCATCGACCTATCTTGACAGCCCTTATTGTAAGACCCTATAACTTTGGAATAGTTACATGTATTTTCATAAAACATGTGTTAGGTAGCCATATGCATTAGCAACATCTTGACCACTCATCAACTGGCATGACTAGCAACATGGCAGCTTTAACTCTTAAGAAAAGAGACCATATGTGTCTGATTATGATTGTGTGTATGAACAAAATTTTTGACATATCAGGAACAGTGTAGGACAGTAGATGTCCAAGTTGACCAAAAGCTGTACACACCCCAGAAAAAGTCATATGTGTTGCTGATTTGAATGGCCCCCTGTGATCAAACTGAACACTGCCAGATATCCTTCTGTGAAAGCATCTTAAAGGCAAGGTTCACCAAAGTTCACCATATCCATGACCTTGACTATCTGCAGGATGTGATCACATAAGAGTTAAATACTTTACCAGTGAAGATGTGCCATAGAGCATGTGGATAGATGTCAGACCATCTCAGGGCATTTTTGCACGTTGGTGGTGTCCAGGTGGATCATGAACACATGAAGGTGATATGTATTTATGTGGATGTATTTATTATGTTGCTGTTTTTAAATTATTTTTGTGTAGTTACGCTTCTAACTCATGTTGTTTGATGTCTATATTTGTCAATGCTGCAAAGTGATAGCATTTCCAAGTGTGGGTCATTACTTCTGGCTCACCCTGAGAAAGAAATGGCAACAGATGCAAAATGTGCATCTGTGACTCACAAAATTCTTTCATTGAATTCATTTCATTGAATTAAGTAAACTTTATATGAGATAAGTTGCTTGCTATCTTTAAACATTAGAATTCATGAGAAAGGATATTACAAGCTTTTTCCTGTTCTTGAGAAATCTCAATTGGTATTTGATGAAGCCAATTCTTTTCATGTTTTTCTATTAATTTCATTAGTACTGCATTATTGTTTTGTCATTTTAAATTCCATCTTTATTCTCTTTATTTTTATTTCTTCTTTATTTATTTAATAAAAAATTTTATGACTAGAAACTCTGATGTTCTTCAATTGTACCACCCTTTCAGATATCTTACTGAATAAAGATGGCTCAAATATGAACCTGTAATTACTTAAATCATGACTTTGTCTTCCCTTGTCATAGGCAAGTTATAGGGGCATGCTAACGGGGGAAAAATGCATGACATTTCATCTTAGCATATCTCCAATTGGATAAGACTATTTCCAGTTACCTTTTGTCCATTTTGAAGTCTTGCAGGCTAGTTATATTTTTTGTGTTCAGCGATGGCTCTTTTCCTTTCTTTTTAGTTGTACTTGGCATTACTTCCATGAAAGTTTTTCATATGAATGAATAGCAGGCTTGTTAATCAAATTTTTTGCTCTTGGGGGAATAATAATGGAATTCCTTAGCCTTAAACACTGAATGCAGTCTAGGTCATATGCTTTCTCCAGTTACAATAAATCAATCATTATGTTGCAGTTCAGCCATGCAAGGACCCAAGCTGGGAGTAGTTGGTAGGATCAGTCCACTGGAGGGTTATAAAGTCTTGGTCAAGAATCTTCATCCAAATGTCAGCGAGGGTGATGTCAAGGTAAGTTTTCTCTATATATTTCCATATTTTCTTTTTTCCCTAGACTATCATTAGCCTGTATGTATGTCATGCATTGCTCTTGTCATGGAGTTGAAGGGAATGAAAACCAAAAGTGATTTCCTTGCAAAGAGATAAATGTGAAGCATGTAGCAGTGTGGAATCTTTTGTTTGAATGTGTGGCTATCATATGGCTTTTTGCCTTTGTAAAAGCTGCTATGCTTTCACTTTCCATCACAAACTGGTCATCTTTGCAAGCTTGAATGGGCCTTTTTTTTTACATTTGTCAGAGGACAAAGTGTTGGGTGACTCATTGGTAAAGCTGATGTACAAATGGCAGTCTCTTGCAAAAACTATTGGATGGAATGAATACAAACTGGGGGGGCTGGGGAGAGTGAGCAGGAGCATTGACCACATGCTTCTTAATTTTCTGCTCCAAATTTGTAGCATGCATATTATCTTGGTTGGTTTAAGTAACCCTTTTGGAAGTGAAATATGTATATGTGATATTGGGGGAAGGGAAATTGAAAAGAAAAATGCTAATGTAATTTGACAAAAAGAAAATCCATCAGTTTTTTCTTGTATTTATGCATTTTCTTCCCTTTTCAAGCAAACCCAACAGGCAGCCTTGGGGATTGCAGGTGCTGGTGCCTCATTATCTCAAGTGACAATCCTGAACATGCCGTCACAGGTACCAGCAACAGATGGTGAGTGATTTATCTGAACTTGCACCTTTCCACCCAGTTTCTGAAGGCCCTCATTTAACTTGAAGAGGTTCTTTACGACCTGGTGTCCAAAATGCTAAGAGCCTCGCTAATGCGTTGCCTCTTCCGTTTTTTTCTTCTCTGAGTTTTCCAGATTTTCAGCTGATAACACTTCGTGCCGTCCACAGGCCCCTCAGGTACCACCTCGGGAGCAGGCACTTTCGGTCTGCATGCTTGGTTTCTCCTCTTACACAATTCAGAGACTCTTCTGTCACACCTAAGACTTTCAAAATTGGAAGTGTATTTGATTGATGATATGCATCTGTAATATTATATCATGAAGTTCAATATCTTAAGTAATTGCTCAGAATAGCATTAGGAAAATACTTCCTAGACTGTTGTAGCATCCAGAGGTGGCCTTTTATTCTTCTTATCTGCCAAAAGTAATGACAACCTGTGACCCAGAAGAGGAGCATGGAGTAAGCTATGCTGATTGGAGACATGTTTCACTTTTTTGTAAATATTCAGTAACAACAAGAGATTTAAATGGGGTTATGACTCAATTATTGCTTGCAAATCGTTTGTTCTCTTCTGGTTATCTTTCCAGACATTCATCAGTGTCAGGACGAGGAATGTGAAATATGTAGGAGCTCTGTCCTGTGAGAGAGCTCGAGACCCTCCCACGCATGTTGCCGTTTGTTTCCCTGCTATTTACCCCAATTCCCAGACTTCTCACCTTGCCTTCTCATCCTTGATTTCTCAATCCTCTAAGTGTTTGTATTGGTTATTTGCTGGTAAAACATGGAACAAAATTGAAAGTAATCCTTTTTGTTTGACTCAATTGTCTAATAGTCTTCAATGGCAAAATATATATTATACTGATTAGGTTCATTTTGATGTCTGATGAAGCTTGTAAAAAAAATTTTTCACCATCAAGCACTTTTTGTGTTATGTGAATTTCAAGACAATTGAGTCAAGCACACTGGCTGTCCCTACCAAATGGACAGACTAGGGGAGAAAGTCAGAAGTCATTGGGCTTACTTGAATTGTATTCTACCTATCAATTCTTTTAACAGATGTTATAATCCCACCAGCTTAACCCTTTTGCTACAAAAGACAACTTTAGTTGCCCATGGTTCTATTACCTCTTCAAAATTTACACAGCAAAAGGGTTAATCTAAGTATATGCTTGTTTTTTTTTCTGGAAATGACTGTATTATTGTGCACCCTGAGATCAGCTTAAATCAATTATGACTTTGTGAGTGCTGCATTACCTACTTGTGCAGGAAACTTTATTTGTATCTATGGATGATGGTGAAAGGAGCCAGGAGAGAGCCTTCAGTGCGAAAATTGCACTAGAAAAAAAGCATTGAGAATTTCAGTTATGGCCCTGATGGAATCATAGACTGTTCCTGAAGAAATTATAGCTCGTACAATACTGTTTCTGGCAGGTTTTCACAGATCAGAGGCTACTCTTGAGTATAAATATGTTGTGTATTAGTGCTCCAAGTGCTTAGCTTTTAGCAGATGGAAAATATGTTTCAAGACATCTAGAGGGCATTTTGTTGTGCAGTCTTCATTGGTTCTTTCTTCTCAGATTGTGATTATGAGTTGGCGTATTTATGGGGATTCATATGTTCTATTTTTTGCCTGCCAACTGTGCTATCAAATACAATAACATCTGTTAATTTTTTCTTTTGTGATCTCACACTATGCTACCATTTGAAACAATTATTCCATTCCCCTATAGTTTTTGTAAAAGAATGTATTTGAAATTGAATGATATTTCAAGGATGTTGCCATGAAAGAAGCTTAGTGTGACCAGATCTTCTAATACTTGTATGGTTGCCATCTAACTACCCTATTTTTTATCACGACAGCAAGACATGGAGGAAAGACCAAGAGTGGACACTGGATTGTTGAGAGCCTAGTTCCTCAAGCCAATTTCCTTCAGGAAACTACAGCTGATATTGTCTTGACAGCAAATATTGAGATTAGAGCAGTGCTTCTTAACTCCCTGTCTGTGGACCAGTGTCAGTCCCTCTTTAACATCTTACGGATCAGTGTTGACAAGGAATTTCTAATCCAATAGATTAGAGATTCCTTTGCATATTGGGTGAGAGAATGAAAGTTTTATGCAAGAAGAAATGGGAAAATTGGACAGGGAAATAATTGAGTGAAAGAGTTAAGGGTGGGTGGTGATATGCAGCCATTGAATTGTAGTCAATGTTGAAAATCAGAGCAATGGAGAATTAGTGATACTAGGGCCATAATGTCAGAAGTCAGTTATATAAATAAATAGACATTGCAGGGGAGATGAAGCAATAGTTGCTTGAAACAATGGATTGATGAGCCCTCTGAATGAGAAAGAGGGGGAAATGCTATCAATAAATAGCATATCAAAGGAAAAAGCCATGAATTGGTTCGCTCCAGAATGTTGAGTGCCCTTTGCTCCTTACCAGATATTTGTCTTTTTCCTCCATTTCTTAATTTATTGTGGGCTGCAGTGTCCTCTCCTTGTCTTCGCATTACTCCTAGTGACAAAATCAAAGTACATGCAAGTTTTTAGGTCAGGCTTCTCAAGATGGATTCCTCCACAGTCTACCTAATATTGTTTGTGATCTCTGCAAATCTTTGATATTTCTTTGAGTATTGATTGTTCCAACCTTAATGTCATTTATTATCAATGATGTTTTCCAGGTTGTTGTGAGCTATTCAGAAAAAAAAATGCTTTTCAATGGTTGGTCTATTGTTATATACACTGTGTACAGCAGAGAAGTTCTGAGTCTTTTTGAAAGTTCTAATGGGTGAGGTGGGATTTGCATCACTAATGAAGGCTTCTTGAGAGAAATCTTGCTGTCTCATGGCAGGTGATTAGGAGGACTGGTGATGTGAATGGATTGAAAAATGTTAATGCATCAAAGTTGAAAACTACAACTATCTCTGTTGCAGTGCATATGGCAATTATGCCAAAAAGTTCTCCTTTATTTTTTAGAGTCTGTTTCTGTTTGATTATGAGTGGACTTTTCAGGTTTGTTGCCTACAATTTGTGCGTTCCTTGCCTTGAAAGATTTTTCACCCATGGAAGGGAGTGAATGCATTTTCTATGTAGAAATCTTATCATCTATGGGTTGCTTGCCTCCTAAAGCAGCTAAAAGCAGGTGCCATCAGGAAATGTGTATTAGCAATCAAGGTTATGGCATGCAATTGAGAGAAGTGTGAAAGTCAGAGTAATGTCTCTGTTAGCACTTATTGTTTATCTGGAGGAATTTTGAATCCCAAATTTTTTTATTCACTTCTGAAAGATTGGAACTCTGCAGAGCCAGTTTTTATTTTTCACCTAACATGAGTTTCTTTCCCCCTCATACTCACCATATAATCTTTCCAGTTTTCACTGATACTAGAATGCAGGTTAAAAGGGAAAAGCACTAGTATAAAATGCTTCTATGATTCTGAACAAATTAAATGTTTTGTAGTATTTCACTCTTTTTCATGGGTGGAGAATGCTTTTAGGATATGGTTCTTTGGCTACCATGACAAGCAGTATTATTAATGCTCCATGTTTTGGTGTGTTTTTTTGCATCTCTTTTCTCTGATTCGATCGAAAGTGGGTACCGAGACGTTGAGTAGGAAGCACAATCTCCTCTGTCTTGGCTCAAAGCGTCCTGTCTCGCTGAGAGAGATTTGGTAATCAACTTGGCTGCTATTTCCTCAACTCTGTCTTTTCTCATGGGATTTGGTAAACATCCTGCTTACTGTCTTCCCCCACTCTTCCTCTCTTGTGCAATTGAAGCTCTTTGTCAATGAGGTCCAACTAGGACCATTCTATGAGGTATGGTTTTTTTTTCGAAGATAAGCAAGGTGGCACAAGGACACCTGACTTCAGATTCTTAGGGCTTGAAATAAGTGTGCTGCAGTAGTTCTTTGCTCAAAGATCCTGGAACATTCACTCCCTTTTTCTTTGTAGGAAGAATTGCATTTCACCAGATTTTTCAGACTACATGCTGATAAATTGTAATGTCTAGAATATTGCAGTCATTCTTTTCTGCCCTAATGTGGCTGAGCTGTTAGTATTGTTAATTCTTTCAATTCCCCTCTGTAAACATGTCCTGAAAAGGATAAATAACTGTTGTAGATGTCTTCATTCATGTCAAATTCTTCAATTCTTTAAATCTCTTCAATATATGTTAGGCTTTCTGTCTCCTGAATTAAGTTATTCCCTAAGGGATTATGGAGGAAAGAACTATTGCAATTTTAAAAATTACAATTCACTTTACATTCAATGGAAAACCTGGTGTGCTTCTTTATCCTCCCATTGCATTCTCTCATGCTAGGTGTGGAGCTTCACAATTTCTTTCCTCTTTCAGATACCATCAAGTTTGACATTGAGCAGAGTGGCCCACTGGTTGCTGGTGAGTTTACAGGACTCTTTTATGTTTCAAATGAATTCATCTTAACAGACCAACCTTATCTTTAATATCAATTTATTCCAAGCTGTTTTCTGCATATTTAATGCACATTTTAAAATGTTTAATGTAATTTTAAAAATAAATATTGATTGCTTGTAGCTTTACCATGCCTCCATAAGAAGGTACCCTTCAGATTATCCATCACAAAGGCTGACACCTTTGGAGAAGTCCTCCTTGATCCCTTTGCCCAACCATGACTTTCTCCACAATGTTTTTCTGCTACTGTACATACTCCCCTTGAAAAAAATCAATCTAAGCATGCTTTTAATGATGGTGTTGATTTGAGTCTGCTATTGGGTGTGGTAGTCCATTTCAGTATTTCCCCCAGACATTGTTGTATTTTCCTAGTTTTACCTTTAACCTTCCTAAATGTAGTTTTTCCTTCATTCATTTGCTTGATTGCCTTTGTGACTGGTGACTTAGAGATGCCTACCTATAAATGCATGACCAGCAAACCTTCACAGGCTTATGTTCTCATATATGATATATTTGTTTGGGAATGTGATATAAAGGACCTGGAGGGAAGAGAGATTCCAGCCTGGTTCCTAGTCTACTTGGTCAAGGTCTGCCCAAGTTGAGCAAAGAGCAACAAGAATGTGTGTCCAAGGCCAAGAAGTATGCTATGGAACAAAGCATCAAGATGGTCCTAATGAAGCAGACACTTGCCCATCAGCAGCAGGTAACCCCATTTCACCACAAATTTCTTTGTCACCATTCCTTCCTTCCAAACTTTACATGGAGAGCTATTTTGCATTTTCTAAAATCATTAATGGATTGTCATGCTATCTAAACAACAAAATGTGTTTCCTTTCTCTCATCAACAGCAAGCAAAATCATTGCAGAGGCATCAAGCGCTTGTCCTGATGTGCAGGTAAGAACTGCCTTAAATTCATTGCTGTGTCCTCATCATCTAATGTGAAAACTAAAAAATTGTGTGATATTATCATAGAGTATATGTGGGGAGTATCAGCTTTGAATTGAAGGAGGACACCATCCGCCAGGCATTCTCACCATTTGGGCCCATCAAGTCCATCAACATGAGCTGGGATCCTGTTACACAGAAACACAAAGGCTTTGCATTTGTGGAGTATGAACTGCCTGAAGCAGCACAGTTAGCTCTAGATCAGATGAATGGGGTCATGATTGGTGGCAGAAATATCAAGGCAAGTCTGAAGTGAAGCAACACTGTGTTTGATATTATTGAATCTAAATGCAAATAAGTCATTAAAGTTGCATTATGGATTTGATTCAGGTTGGTAGACCAAGCAACATGCCCCAGGCACAATCTGTCATTGATGAGATAATCATAGAAGCACGTTCCTACAATCGCATCTACATTGCATCAGTTCATCCAGATCTAACAGAGGAGGACATCAAGAGGTAAGCAACTAAGCACTCATGATCTGGAATCCTTTCAAAACCTTCTCAAAGTGTACCACTTGTTTTTCTTCATCATTGCTACATCCTTCCATAGTGTATTTGAGGCATTTGGGAGGATCAAGAGCTGCAAACTACAACAGACAACTGTTCCTGGCAAGCACAAAGGATATGGGTTCATTGAGTATGAGACATCCCAGGCTTCTGATGATGCTGTTGCTTCTATGAATCTATTTGATCTTGGTGAGTTGCCATCACTGAGTGGCATATCTGGAGGTTTACTTCAAGTTTACAAACTTGAAGTAGACCTACCAGTATTTTTTGGATATGCTTTGGATGGATTCAGTCCCCCAAGAATTTCTTGTTGGTTCTTGAAAATAAACAGTGCTATTCTTTCAAAACAGGGGGCCAGTTTCTCAGAGTTGGGAAGGCATGCACACCACCAAATGCATTGCAAGCAGCCATACAGTATTTTCAAGGTAGTGGTTCACAGAATGCCCTTCCAACTGCTGCTGCTGTAGCAGCAGCTGCTGCAACTGCTAAAATCCAAGCCATAGATGCAGTTGTCTCCAACACCATGGCCATTGGTAATTGTGGTTTTACTTTATAATTTGATTATAAGATACACCATTTCAGTATCATTCATCTTTTGGCTTTTCCATCTTGTAGCTTCCCAGACGTTGGTCCAGAGTCGCCTTCCTGTTGTGAGCCAAGTAGCAGCTGGGGGTCTTGGTGCATCACCATTCCTTCGTCCTGGTCTAGGAGCAATTGGAATGACAGCTGGTTTCCCTGCTGGTGGAGCTGGACTACTTCCCACTCCTTTGGTCTCCCCTGCCCTTGGACTGGGAGGGATTGGAGGTGCAGCTTTAACCACTGCTCAAGTTGGACCTCCAGGGGTTGTAACTCCTACACAGCTACCTGGTAAGCAGGGAATGACAGAACTCTTTGTGAGCAAGGAGGCATTTCTTAATTTTAATGTTTGATATTACCTGATAATCCTAGGTGGTGGACTAGGACTCCCCCCTCCAGTTGTGATTGCTCCTTCCTCTTTGGCTGCTCCTACCCCAGCTGAGGCCATAGCTAAAGCACAAGCAGAAGCTAAAGTGAGACCCTTGATTCAATATTTTTTTCCTGTTCTATATAGTTTGGACTGATGTGAGAAGTATTATTTTTTATCCTTTGAATGATTGGTCTTAAAGATTCTGATGAACTATGTTGAGGTGTGGGATAATATTTTTACTTTGAAGCAGTTGTGGTTATGTCCCCTGCAATATGAAAATGATTTGAAAGTTACATTCAAATGTTATTTTCCTATATAGATGGATATCAGGATAAATTTCTTGGAAGTTATGAGTTGTGTAATAAGATTTGGCAGACACTTAGCTCAAGAATAGTCAAGTCATTGGAAGGTTAAATTGCATGTAATATTACTATGTAGATGGAAAGCTGCTTGTTGTGGTGCCTGCCTGAAGGCACACTTATTTTTTGAACCTATCATCTCTGGCAGGAATAATGCCCCTTTCCCACCAAAATCCATGATTAGCATTTGGAAGACAAAGCATAGGAAGATGTAATTTCACTAATTAACTTGTTTTTATACATGATGTGTTGGGTTTGTATTGTGCATATTTCTCATTGATTATCATCTAATCAGCAGAAGCACCAAGAAGAACTAGCTAAGAAGCTGATGGAAAATGAAGGTCAAGAAGAAACAGGCACTCTACAAGCTCAAGAGAATCTCTCAATCAAAGGTCAATCAGCCCGCAATTTGGTCATGCAGAAACTCCTCCGCAAGGCTGATGTAAGTCTTGGAAACTGTATAGCATGTCTCTTTTTGGGTGAATTCCCTTTGCTGTCCAGCTCCTCAGAGGCACACTCTTTTCCAGTCTTGTGTTGTGATCCTGAGGAATATGGTGGGTCCCGAAGATGTTGATGACAGTCTACAGGAAGAGATCACTGATGAATGCAATCGATTTGGTGTTGTTAGCCGAGTCATCATCTACCAAGAGAAACAAAGTGAAGAAGAAGATGCAGAAGTTATAGTCAAAATTTTTGTTGAGTTCTCATCTGGTCATGGTGAGTGTGAGACATCATGTAAGATCAATGTTAAAAAATTGTTCTGTGTCTGATGTATTTATTGTGTATCTTTGAAATTACAGAAGCAGAAAAGGCAAGAGATGCACTCAATGGAAGATACTTTGGAGGTCGGCTAGTGAAGGCAGAACTTTATGACCAAGTCTTATTTGACCACAATGACTTGTCTGGTTGAATGACAATGCATGTTTTGTGCTCATCTCTTCTTCCTACTCCCTTGTAACAAGGATGAAGCCGCCAAGAGTCCCTCCTTCCATTTTGCTTCTCAGCTGTGGTGCACTGGAGGTGTTCATCAGAGGGAATTGAAGGAATTGATGCAGACTAAGTTGTTTGAAACTTTTTCTGCTTGGTAATGCATTTTCAGATACTGAATCTATAAAGATTTTAATAATTTACATGCATCATGCATGGTACTTTTTTTTTTGCATTATGAGTTCTTGTGTCCTCCAGAGGATGGCAGAATCATGTATTTCTTGTTTCTGCAAACTTGGAAGCAATGAACAGATTCTAATGGCCATTTTTTTGCTGTATTATTTCATGTACATCATGATGTAATGCCTGACCAAATGCTGCTCACAAGTCTGTCATATTTCCCAATTGCTCTTATATTTGTGAGGGACATGCCTTCCACGGCAAATATGGTATCAAGTTCAAGCTCAGCTTTGTCTATAGCAGGGATTCTTAACCTTTTTGCACCCATGGACCACCCAGATCCTCAAGTATTACCCATGGACCCCCACCCCCTGTTATCAAACTTTGGAACACCTGGATTTGTAATTATAAATGATGTTTTTTGGGAGCTACCTTCAATTATATATTTAATTTTCCATGGACCCCAAGTTAAGAACCCCTGGTCTTCCTAGGGAAGTATTGGTTCCACATCTCAATGTTTCTCCAAGTAAGGAACTTAAAATTTTTTAAAAGAGCTTCGAAAAGAATAACAGCTGTAGAACTACAAAATATAGCAACTTCTGTACGCCGTGACGTTTGGCTTATTAAAACCATTGTTGCTGAAGGGCACTTCAGCGTTAGTTACTCCTGTCGTACGCCTTCTACGCCTGAGCGTAAGTTGACAGTCAATGGTATCAATGGAATTGACGTCGTGAACCTTAGCCACCGACCGGTCGCGTGTTCACGCTTTCTTTCCGTGCTAGGTTTCGTGTCTTAATGCCATGACACCACCAGGTACGGTCACTTTCACTTGAGTAAGCTATGTGCCTGTGGTCGGTGATTTATCGTATTGGGATTGAATGTAAAACGAGACTAGGGACAGTGATCACTTGAAGTCTCTTCTGGGTCGTCACAATGGAGACCAATGAGAAGAAACAACACGATTTGGCTTTTCAAAATAAGTTTTTAAAAAAAAGAGTAAATAAGATATACTCTGACCCCCTTAAGCGTAAAATCCGTCCCCATTGCCTGCGTTTGGATATCGATAGTTCCGGAATTATACCATTCGATAATTAAAAAAATACACGGTCTATTTCCGTTTTGAAACCGGAAATCGATGCAATTTGGTTGAAAAGGCAGGTTAGATTTATTGCTATATCCAATTATGTGATGTAGGGACTTCATATAAGGGACCCAACCCCCAAGGCGAGGAGAGGGAAAAAAAATTTTTTCTTAACTGAGACAGGGTAAATCCAAGGTCTAAGCTCGTCCGTATTTTTACATTTTCTTCTATGTTGAGGTATGTACGAACGAATGTTGACGGACCGACTGAGCTCTCTAGAATCCATGCAGCGTGGGTTAGAAAGCTGAAAATGCTGTTAGTCGCAAATGAGCAACAATAACATTTTCGGGCCTACTGCTTACAATTTTGATTTTAAAAGTTTTTTTTTTCCACCGCATCCGTATTTTAGGACGTGAGTGAAACCTACCAGATTTTTTTCGCCGAAAAATAAAAAATCGTGCATTAAAGGGTTAAAAAACGAATTTTCTCCCATATTTTCCCTCTCAACCCATTTCAATACATCTTTCTCTAATTACCGGTTAGCCAGAAAACACCCTTTATTTAAAGAAAATGATAGGAAAGTTTCGCTTTTTGCAAGTAGCATTCTTATCACTATTTCTGAAGCTTCTCAAAATGCTTCGACTTTGTTGTTCTCACCTTTGTACTGTGTTTCAGCGTGTGTGATCGCATCAGAACGATTCTTATATTCCATCACGAGCACATATCAAGATTAAACTGGAATTGAACTCAACAATTGAGGAAACCTTGCATAATGAATTTCGTTTCAAGGTTGCCGATGTCGCCTTTGAATATTTAATTCCATGAAAACACCGTATCAAGTCTTTCCGCGCATCTCCATCCTTTCGAAGACAAAATGCCTTCACGACAAAATACGATCGATTCGACGGGAGAAGTCAAACGGCCGAGATTTTCAACTCAGATCTTGATTTGCTTGTAGAATGCCGAAGCCTTCAAAGCTGAGGGCCTCACAACAGCGGCTGCGTCTCATTCGACCCAGGAATGCGTCGAAGAGCGTACGTGATGCAGCTAGTCCGTCCTGCAGGGATCAATTTTATCACGTGGTATTATGTGAGTCATCTGTGCGGCATACGACCATTTCTTAGTCTTCCGCTATCGTCTGCAGTTACATGTGTTTATGAGAATTCCGATCAACCAGTGGAGCAGCGAAAAAAAAAGCCAAAGTATGAAAGCCACCCCAACGTCTCCGTGTGTCTCCTCGTGTCTCTTCTACGCAGTTATTTCCCCATCCCAGAAGTCGGAATGCGGAATGATCTCATTCCCATACTTGACTTTTTCTTGCAATCATGCTGCAACCTCGCGATTCCTGGAACCCCCTTCTCGTTCATGGGCGGAGTTACCCGTGGTGCTCATGCGCGAGATACCCCCACCCACCCAGTTTCTCTGCCAGAAGCGAAGAAAAGAAGCATCAGGTGCAATCAACGCTGCAGTTGCAGGACGGGCGAAGCACCGAGGTTGAATTTTCCACAGTGTTCCACTTGCAGCCGGCGTGGGTGTCCAGTCCAGGGGCCGTATTCACGAAAACTTCGTAAGAATGCGATATTCGTACGAACTTCGTATCTTTGGTGTTCATGAAACTTCGTAGCGATGATAATGAGCCAGCCAATCATAACCGAGCTCGGGAGCTACCAAACCAATCGCTGAGTAGAAAACAACCTGGTTCTCACGCTGGCAGCATGACTCACGAGTCCCCATATCATAGGAGCCTTCTGCAAACTTTCTGCGCATTCCGTGCCGTTGTTTTTGCTCTTACAGGAAGTTTTAACACGACTGGAGATCCCGTCGAATCTTCGAAAACACTTCCTGTGTGCATATATCCTGTTAACCGCCAAGTGTGAATGAACCTTAGCTTAATTGAGACACCCAATGAAAGAGAGTTCCACAGATCCCTCGACATCGTCATTGTGGCCACTTACGATACCTCGGGACCATTCGTAGACTTACGAAGAAAGATACGAACTTTTGTGCTTTCGTGAATAACAAAATTGAGCAGCATTCTTACGAACTGCGTACAAAGATTGTACGAACATCTTACCCAAAAATGCTTCATGAATACCACTTACGAACTTCGTAAGAATTTCGTGGCAGGAGAGGTTTCATGAATACCACTTACGAACTTTTCTTACGAAGAAAAAGTTCGTAAGAATGTTTCGTGAATACGGCCCCAGATGAGTAAGGCGCAAGGCCACGCGTTCCATACCGAGGTCACCCACTTGTCCTAGGCCTACTGCTTCATTATTTTTCTCTCGAATCAAAGATTTTCAGTCGCTCGAACACCCGCGCACGGGAAGCGCCTCGCAGCCCGAGTGTCAAGGGAAAAATTACCCGACTCGATTGAAAAACACCGTTGGAAAAAACAAAATGGCAAAAATGTCCAAGTTCTTTAACGTGCAAGTTTATCGATTGCGCTTGACCGCAACACGCCAATCCAGTCCTTTCGTCGTGATCCCCCCTTGCACCAGCGCTTTCACCGCACCTGGGCGACAAGGGAAGACCCGGAGCAGAATTTGATCTTGGTGCCTGTGAAATGAGAGTATTTATCTCCCCACCCTCACCTATGGTCATGAACTTTGGGTCATGACCGAAAGCACCAGATCGCGAATACAAGCTGCCGAAATGAGGTTCCTGGGTCGAGTGGCTGGCGTAACGCGCCGTGATCGGATGCGGAACTCTGCCATCCGCGAGAGACTCCACGTCGAGCAGCTGCTATTCCGGATCGAGAGGTCTCAGGCCAGGTGGTTTGGACACGTCTGTCGCATGCCCCCTGAAAGGCTCCCAAGAGTAGTCTTCCAGGCCAAGATGACCGGCCAAAGACCTGTCGGTAGATCTCGTACAAGGTGGAGTGATTATGTCGCTCGGCTTTGTCACGAGAGGCTCGGCATCCCACCAGCTGAGCTTGATTCTGTTGCCCAGGATCGAGATCACTGGAGGACGCACCTGGGAATGCTCGAACCGCGACCCCATTAAGCTGGGAAAAGCGGCCAAGAAAATGTATGTATGTATGCCTGTGAAATGTAGGGATTCCGAAGAGTTACCTCGACGTTGCTGCTGAAGGTAGTCTGGTGGGTGTAATCAGCATGGAATCAAGGGATAAAGAAATTCGAACAATCAAACTGATTAATCAGTATATTTTGAACCAAGGAACATTGAGTTTCGCGACATTTCGAGCATGCGCGTCCTTGTGCTGCTGTTGACTTTCAAGATGATGGAAATTGGTCGAAATTGAGAAATTTTTTAGATGCTGGAAGTGTGGAAAATGTTCTCTCGTACTAAGGAAAGGCATTTCCACTCGCTGCCTTATCTGATCACCATTGGGCAGGAAAAGACTTTGAAATACTGGAAAGTGCAAGGGGAGAAGACATCTTCATTCCTTTTCTGATTTTGATGTCAAAGAATTTGTTTGTCACGGGGTTTCTCTCGCACGCTTATGAGTTGATGGTTGATTTTTGGCATGGGACTTGATCTTCACAGCAGGACTCGATTCGATTCTTTTTCGAGCCGGATCCGACGGCCCCTCAGACGGAATGCAAGTGACGTGAGAGATTTCGTGGAAACTCTATGACGTGTCAGGGAGGAATGCGCGTCGTTTCTCGGCTGCTTCACCCGGTGCTACCTTGGCGAAGCGTTATTTCTACTCGTTTCGTTGCAACTGTGATTCGTGGTATTAACCTTCCTCTTCCGTTTGGTTTTCCCCTCTTCCTATAAAAGAGAGGCGATCGGCCTATCGGCATGCGTCAAATTCTCCCTGGTTTAAATCTCGGGAGGGCGCAGGGTGTTGTGAAACCTTAGCTCCCCCCCCCCCCCCCCTCTCCCCTCCACAACTTAAAGTCAACGGTGCACATAAGTAATGGCCATTACAGCGTCTAACCCCATCTCATTGCACATCAAATTCGTGGATTGTGACGGCTTCAATGTTATTAAGAGACAGTGAAGAACCAGAATTCGTCGATCGCATGTACGC